AGTGTAGAGTTCATATGATCGTGGGAATATTTGGTACACAGTAAGTGTAGAGTTCATATGATCGTGGGAATTTGAATGTTCTCCCCACAAGGAACTGATAAGTGTTTGAGGCAATGGCTGTGGTAATTACCCTGATTTGATCATTACACAATGCATACATATATCAAAACATAACCCTTTACCCAGTAAACATGTGCCAGTATTATGTGTCAATTAAAAGTTAAAAAAGATTGTGATGGCAACATCAGTTATGTGAAAACCCAACTGTTTATATTAATACTAAATAATAACTCCTTGGCCATTACTGGGAGCATTTCCCACCTCCCTTTTAGAGATAAAATCTTACTCTGTTACCTAGGCTAGAATGCAGTGGTGTGTGATTGTAGCTCACTGCAGCTTAAACTGTTGGGCTCAAGGAATCCTTCTGCCTCAGCCTCCCAAATAGCTGGGAGTACAGGCACATGCCACCATACCCAGCTAATTTTTAGTTTATTTTAGAGATGGGGTCTTGTGATATTACTCAGGCTGATCTTGAATTCTTGGCCATAAGCAGTCCTCCCACCTTGCCTTCCAAAGTTCTGGAATTATAGGCATGAGCCATTATGCCCAGCCATTGCTCAAAGCTGATAGGGCAAGAATTCTCCACTCAGGGGAAAAAAGTGAACGACTCTGTCATTTATTAACTATCCTGTCTGTATCATCTATCTGTGTCAAGATTCTAAAAGGTTGATGAGGGGAAAATCCTTCTTTATAGATAAATTCTAGGTGATAAGTACAGAGAAATTAGAGAATTAGAAAATCACCAGTTAGTGATCTGATGATATAATGAATCTGGTAAAAATTTATGGCAGCTACTTAAATTCACAAGGAGAAAGGTCAATGGGGACACTATAATGGATGGGCCGTGTTGATAGTCGAACATGGGCATTTAACTCTGAAAAGCCTACTGAAATGACAGCAAAGTCCCGTGGTGGTAGGGGAAAGCCAAGAAGTGTTCTGCACCCCTGTGCCCAGCAAGAGCTCCTGAAGGCAGCAGGCACGTCTGCATGTGAGCGTGGGGACTGCGGTGAAGCAGGAGACTGCTAAAAATACGTGTATGAATCTGCTGTACCCACAGGTCTCTGCTCCTGGGGCTGTTGCTGGTCCCTTTTGCATCCAGCAGAAGATTAGTATTTGACTCCCCGCAGGGTAAAATGGAAGCATGCCTGGCTGTGAGTCATGAGGCATGGCTGGGGAGGTGTGTCCCTCTGCACTCAGGGGGAAGGAGAGCACACTGAGCCCCTCCATGCCCACCCCTCCACACATACCCCACCTTCCACAGAGCTCTGGGGGTGCTCATGGCCAGGCCTTCCTCCCTCATGGGAAATTCGTCCTAGGAAAATGACCAGACCCAAAGCACAACATGGGGGTTTCCTGAGGAAGTGGCACAGCACGGCCACCGTGCGGCATGCCCACTGCTGCTCTGCTCCCCCTGTCTCCTCACTATGTAACCGTTTCCTCTCTGGAAGTGCCAGTCAGAGCTTAGCCAAGTAATGCACTGTGGTGACTTTCCTTTCTCAGATAACTTTGCAAGTAGTGTTAAGTATCACGAGTAGATTCCTTTCCTTTATTTTAGCAGCGGCATGCATGTGGTGGGGGTATAACTCAACGTAATAAGACACCTAAGCCATAAATGCTCTACCTAACCTTAGGCAGATTAGATAATTTGCATAATACCAGCTGGAGCCCTCTGAGAGATTTTTTTAATCTTTAGATCGAAAACAATTTGATTATTTAAATAATTTTTTTATATTGCAGATTAACTTTACTGTGTTAGATTTAAAAGTAGTTCTGGTTTCTGCCCTCTTACTTCCTAAAGAATGATGCTTAGACATAGGAAACTATTATGGCAGCAATTTACTAATTAATGTTTGTGCCTGTGATCTTTGAAGTCTGTGCCCTGATACTTGTTATTTATGGCCACCAGCCTTCCTGGGCAATTGGCTTCTTAGACCTCTTCTCTGTCCACTCTCTGCCATTTCTTCACTGCAGCTATCTGCTAATGGTAATAATAGTTAGAATGATTTCAGTTTAGTCAGTGTCATTTCCACTGGTCACTGTTTTTCAATGCATTACCTCATTTATCCTTAGTAATTCCTTATATAGGCACTACTCTTACTGCAGGAAAACAAGAGTCTGAGTGGTTGAAGGACCCCCCTAAGGGCAAGATCAAGGTTAGTCTGGGTCTAACCTCACTGCTCTGGACTTCATCCCAGGGATGCCTCTGCTGCTGTTCTCTTCCAGACCTCTGTCTTTCCCTTTGCAATGAGTTTGGGGTTTTACACAGAAAATAGGTGCCCAAAGGAGTGAACTCCCTAATCCCCAATTTCATTCCCTTTCCTTCCCTTCCCTTTCCCCTTCCCCTTTCCTTCCTGTTCCTTCTTCCCTTCCTCCCAACAGGGTCTCACTCTATCAGCCAGGCTGGAGTACAGTGGCCTTTTCATAGCTCACTTGCAGCCTTGAACTCTTGGGCTCAGCAGTCCTCCTGTCTCAGCATCCTGAGTAATGAGGCTGCAGGCACCACCACCACGCTTGACTAATTTTTCTATTTTTTGTGGAAACGGGGTCTCACTCTTGCTCAGGCTAGTCTTGAACTCCAGGCCTCATGTGATCCTCTTGCTTTGGCCTCTCCAAAGAGGATGATAGATGTGAACCACTGTGCCCCACCTCCTTTTCTTAATTCTTTAAAACACTGTAGTGAGAAAACCCAGGCTTAAGGCCAAATACGTGATCTTCAACAAACTACTTCTTCTCGTGGTCCCAGGTGTTTCTTCTGCAAAGTGGGAACAGTGATGCCACCTTCCTGAGCTGTTGCATGCCAGGAGCTTGTGAGCGATGTAGTGCTGAGGACAGTGTGAGTGTGTGAGCGTGAGCCCAGAGCACACTGGGATAGTAAGCCAGCCTTACCATCACCTGGCTCCTTGTTTCCCCCCGTTCATGAAAGGCATGTGGCGGGGTAGAGAAAACAGTCTTATCCCAGACAGCCCTATATTTGCAGTAAAATAACAATTTGTAGTTATTTGCCTAAAAATCTATTGTGTAGATAAATTATAAACTTCTCAGGGACAGGTCCTGGTATTTTCCTTGGTATCTAGTAATTGCTAGAAGATTGTGAAGTTGTAAAAATATACTGATTCTGTAGTCCTGCCTAACTAACTGGCTTAGAATTTGGTAAGAGTTTATTTTCTTGAACACTGGGTATCTCCTAGAGGACAGTAACTTCATGTAGTTTTCACAGAAGTTGAACAAAACTTCTGTGGTTGGCTTCTGTGCTCACTGTCCCTTTATTTATGTCGTGAATTGCTCCAAGTAAAATCTACCCACTGTTGCTTAACAAACCTTCATTTTGTTTCTGTTTTCTCCTCAGAAAAGAAAGACGTGACTCAAAGCCTAGAAAATTATACCTCCAAGTGTCCTGGGACCATGGAGCCCATCACCCTGCCAGGGGGCCTCACCCTGCCCCCAGTGCCCTTTACCAAGCTGCCCATCGTCAGGTGAGCGGGAGAGGCGTGTTTCATCCCAGACAGTCCTCTGGGTTGATTGGGAATAGAGATCTTAGAAGAGGTTCTGGGTTTTTTCTTTTTTTTGGCTGTGTATTGGGCCCATTATGTCATTGAAATTGACAGTAGTCCTGTGAAATGTGAATGCTGTGGAATGAGAGGATCACGACCAGTGACATCCCATACCTCCTGCAGTCATGAGCCTGTTAGATGGCCGAGCTATGTACAAACCCAGGCCTGCCTGGTTCCAAGGCTCGCATTGTGACCACTGTGAGATGGTGGAAACCCATTGACCACTTTACTCCTCCCTCCAAACTGTCAGCTGTTTCCCTTTTCTGGCCTGGGCACCCCAGCAGCACAGGAGCAGGGCAGCTCCTCCAAAGATAGCACTTTCCAGCTCCACAGCTGTGCTTGTGCCCTGCATCTGCCAGATGGGCAATCGCTTCCCTCTCCCCAACTTTATCCTGTTTGATCCTCATTCCTGTAGACTCTTTCCCAGCCTGGTTTACAGGGAGTGTTTCCTATTAGCCCCTGGGTGTCTATGGCACCTGTGGTGTTTGCTAAATTGTGTACAGCCCTGGAATTACCTTTCTCCGTGAAGGTCTCCTAACAGATTGTGAGATTTCAGAGTGGAAACCCTTTGGCACATGCAAAGTGGGTACCTAGGAAAGATTATAACCTAATCTTGTAATTGAAGTAATTTCTGCATTTCTGAAAGATTTGTTTGAAGGCTGAAATGAAACAGTTGAAATGAGATGTTTTGTGGTTGAGTAAAAGTGCTGATGTGATAAAGATGCATCTTTAAAACTCTCTCAGCCCCGAGGAAGGGTATATTCACACTGGTGCCCATGCTGCCTCCTCACACTGGTACAGCCTGGAGAAGATAGGCCCTCTGCGGGCTTTCCTATGAGTAAGACTTCTAGGAGAATATATTTGATTTGGGATTAAGGGCATGATTCATTTAAAAAGAAATGCAGGCTAGGAAAGCCTTTCTTAATAATTTTTTATCTGCATCATGACTTGGATCATTATTTATTTATTTATTTTTGAGACAGAGTCTCATTATGTTACCTTGGTAGAGTGCTGTGGTGTCCTAGCTCACAGCAACCTCAAACTCTTGGGCTTAAGTGATTCTCTTGCCTCAGCCTCTAAGTAGCTGGGACTACAGGTGCCTGCCACAACGCCTGGCTATTTTTTTTTTTTTGTAGTTGTCATTGTTATTTAGCAGGTTTGGACTGGGTTTGAACCTGCCAGCCCCTGTGTATGTGGCTGGCGCCCTAACCACTGAGAGATGGGTGCCAAGCCTTGGATCATTCTTAAATTTAGAAAATCTTCCATAATAGGACATTCTGAATCTCGCAGAACGTTCTGGGCTCTCAATGCTATATCTAAGCCTCAGGCCTCTTGTCTGAAACTGGGGAAGATTTGTCCTCGCAGGTGATTGGAACCAAAGAAGAAAAGTGCCTGTTCTCACAGAGACTCACAGGATAAACAGGCTGGGGCAGTGAGGCAGCCGTGGATAGACGTTAAAGTCCTTGGGTTTATCTGTCACTAGCAGGTGACCTTGGGTGAGGATGGATCGTCTTTAAGGTTCACTTTCCTTACCTCTAAAGTGAGTATAAAAATTGTCCCCTCTACAAAAATTGTAGTTTGGTTTTGTTTTAGCTGAGTTGATACATACAAAGGCACAGAGCCCAGTGCCTAGCATACCATGAGGACTCAGTAAATATTAGTTTTCATCTTGGAGATACTTTTATACCTGTTTTTTAAACAGTACATTGATTAAAATAAATACTGTAATACTAACATTTTAATCTCTGTAGCTGTTTACAAACTTTAAAGCATTCTGGTAAAGTTTAATAGTATGAGATTTCTGCAGCTGCTGCCCCTGAATCTGCTGTGCTCACTGTTGTTTGGAGGTGGCAGTGCCTGTCTTTCACTTGTCAGATTCTTTGTGGCTCAGATTTCAGAACTCCCTGTGGACAGCTGCCTAGTGTCCAGTGCCACTGCTCTTACCCAGTCTGATCATAGGCTGCTTGTTAAAATCTGATTTTGTATACTGCATAAATGTTTTTTCTTGTTTTCGGAGACTTTCAGCTAGAGAAATAAGCCCTATTTGTCCTGGTGACTCTGATTGTGTCATCCATGCCTGGTCTCATTAAAAACTGGAAAGAGGGCGGCACCTGTAGTTCAAAGGAGTAGGGTGCTGGCCCCATATGCTGGAGGTGGTGGGTTCAAACCCAGCCCTGGCCAAAAACTGCAAAACAAAACAAAACGAAAGAACTATGGCATGAGGTTCCATGCAGGAAGCCCTCACAGGAACATTAGCATCTGTGGCAAAATGCAAGGGGGTTTCTCTGAAAGGTTTGGAGTATTTCACAGCCTGGTTTGCTCCCCATCACTTATAGAGCACAATCCAGTTTGCTTGCTTTGTGTGGTTTACAAGGCCCTCTGTGGCCTGTTTTGTCTCCAGACTTTGATTGTGAGCCCGTCGTTTCCCTGGTCCTACTATCGTACTTTCCCCTGTGGAAATATTCACGAGTGGGTACGATGTGTGAGGGCTCTTCTTTGTTTACCCTTCATCTTCTGCTTGAAATGTCTTTTCTCCCTCACTCTGCCTGGTGATACTTAGTTATCTTTCAGGATTTAGTTCAAGGATTATATTCTCCATAAAACTTTTTCCTAAGCCACCCAAGTAGAAATGACTATGCTTTCTATATAAGTTAGGGCTTATTTCAGCTGTCAAAAGCAGAATGCCTAATAATGGATAGCCAATAGGAGGTTATTTTTTTTGTGTGTTTATCAAGAAGCTGGAGGTGGTGCCTGTGGCTCAAAAGGGTAGGGTGCCAGCCCCGCATGCCGGAGGTGGCAAGTTCAACCCAGCCCCGGCCAAAAAAAAAAGAAGCTGGAAACAGGTGGCCTGTCTGTAGCTCTGTCTTTACCTCGTGATTACCAGATGGCTGCTGCAGCTCCAGATGACACTTCTGCGTTCAAGGCAGAAAGAAGGGAGAAGGGGTATGTTTAGGGATAAAACTGTGGCACCTAGATCTGACAAGTCCAGGCAGGAATTCAGGTTGGGCTGAAGTCCAAGTTCAGACAATCTCATCTGAACTTGGTTTCTTTTCTTATCCATCTTCTGCAGTTGTTGGCTTTAGTTTCAGGTCCTAGGTGGCATCAGAGTGACAGCAGCAGCTCCAGACCTCACATCCTTTTCCTATAGTGTCCAGGAAAAGGGAAAAGGAGCCTCCTGAAAGAAAGGGAAAACACCTCCTGAAGAAAGAAGGTCCCTTGCTTTCCACTGCATCTCACTTTCCACTGGGGTTGTGGACTCAGACTGAGTCTGTTTCCCTAAACCCATGGCTAAAAGGAGAGCATATGTAGTTCCCTTAAGCAAAACCTGGGAATTGTTTGGCACAGAAGAAGGGGGATGTGGGTGTCAGGAGGAACCAACAAGGACCCTGACAGTGGATGATGCCCACATTCTACTTACCCTATTATGTTGTCCCAGACAAAACATCCAGGTTTTCAGTTTGTGAACTGTAATGCTTATGAGTCAAAGTAATACATTGATTAATCACTGCCCTTCCCAAATTAAAAAACATTACTCTGGCAAAGCATCACCTTGAAGTGATTACATACTTTATTTTATGAATTGCATTTTGTCATTCTTGGACTTGTGACACTTCCTGACTCAGAAGTCTGGCTATATGCTTTTCTTACTGATAAATAGGTCTGTTTTTTTTTTTTTTTTTTTTTGAGACAGAGTTTTACTGTGTCATCCTTGGTAGAGTGCCCTGGCGGCACAGCTCACAGCAACCCCAAACTCTTGGATTTAAGCGATTCTCTTGCTTCAGCCTCCCAAGTAGCTGGGATTACAGGTGCCTGCCACAATGCCTGGCTATTTTTTTTAGTTGTAGTTGTCATTGTTGTTTAGCAGGCCTGAGCTGGGTTTAAACCCACCAGCCCCGGTGTTGGTGGCTGGTGCCCTAACCACTGAACTGTAGGCGCCAAGCCTAGGTCTGTGTTTTTATTTAAAATTAATTTTCCTAACAGATAAGTTTGGTTACTTTAATGAGCTAGCCAGATTAGACTGTTGTGCTTTTCTCCTAAGTTTTTATCACTCAAAAGTATGAAGAATTAAGAAAAATGTGATATCCTTGCTGTATAATTCTTCAACTTATAGCACTTTTGCTTGTCAAGGCAAACTCTTCTTTCTTCAGAGATGTTCCCTGGTCACGTATAGTATAGAGTATATGCTGTTTCTTCTAAAATTCTGTCAGGATTACATGTGGAGAGTACCAACGTATAAGTATTGCTTTAGGTTTCAGAAAGCGAAGATGGTAATTAAAATTTGTTGATGTGTCTTATTTATTTCAAGCATTATCAAACTCTTTTCATGTAAAATTGGAAAAACCATATGATTTTGTTCGTAGTCTTATATTCAAATCCTATGTTCTGCAACAAATTGTGTGGCTCTGAATGAGCCATTTGGCTTCCTCATACCTCCCATGCATGAGTCAGATGAACTGTTTGGAAAGTGCTTTGTAAGCAGAAAAGCTCTCTGTAGACAGAAGTTCTTACAGAGGCTTACGGGAGTTTGGCCTCTAATTAGAAGTTACTTGCTCTTCCCTATCATTTATCACTTTGGTTTGTACATGTTAAATTAAACGAATTGAATCAAGTTGTAGCAAGCTCTGAAGAAATGCTGATATGTAACTACTGTATTTAGTTATTTCTTAAAATTCATGTACCCAAAGCCCAAAAGTCTCAGCTGAAAATTTGAAGAGTAGGAGTTGCCCCAAACATCTTTTTGTTCCCCATATTAGTTAAGCTGTTATCTTCTCAGGAAATCAAAGGTTCTCTTCGTCTTTCTCAGTTTTGAGGCTGGTGAGCTCCAGTGTGGGAACGGGCCTTCCCAGGGAGCTGCCCTACTGGCTGTAAACATGCTGTTGGCATTAAGTCAGAGCCGTGACACCAAACCATGGTCAGAAGCCACTATTTTGTTTGGTCTTTCTGTGGCAAATATTTTATCTTTTGAGAACCAAAGAATTGGTTTTTCTTTATTTTAGAAAACATAAGTACTAGGACTGGTCCTGGCTGCCCAGCTGGGTGGATAGAAGACGCCTCTCTTGCCTTTAGAATGCTTCCAGTGAAGTGGGGTCTTAAAATGGTAGGAAGTGCTGTGGTGGGGACGGAGGGGTACAAGGAAGGGTGCTGGTATAGCGGGGTGGGGGGAGCTGGTCTTAAAGGAGATTCATCTACAGTTATCCAGGGGTACGAGGCTGGGAGAATCTTCTAGGCACAGAAAGCAGCTTGAGCGAGGCCAAAGGAGGAATACTTGTATTTGAGAGTATACAATACTTTTTTTTTTTTTTTTTTTTTTTGCAGTTTTTGGCTGGGACTGGGTTTGAACCCGCCACCTCCTGTATATGGGACTGGCGCCCTACTCCTTTGAGCCACAGGCGCTGCCCCATATAATAGCTTTGCTTGATGAATCTGCTGGTTCCCATGGCTGGACAGGGAGGTGTGAGAGCTGAAGCCTGTGACTCTTAGATCTCTGGAGGGAGGGGGTCAGCTATGGAGGTTCCATTGTAATTACATAGGTTATTAACACACTATAAATTATAGATTTGGAATAGAGTTCAGGTACCATTTTCAGTTAACCAATGAATCTTTTATTTGGTGGCAATGATGGGGAAGGATGATTCACTGATTTTTTTTTTTTCAAATTTCAAAATATGGGGTACAAATGTTCTTGGTCCATGGATTGCGTTTGTAATGCTGTAGTCACAGCCATAAGTGTGCCAGTCACCCAAACAATATTCTTTGTGTCCATTCAGTAGGCTTTGGCCCCTCTCTCCTCCTCTTCCTCTGTCTTTTCCTAAAGAACTAACAAACTCTTTCAACCTGGAAAAGAGCTCTAGCATTTAATGAAGGTATTTAAATTGCTAAAGATCAAAATCTTCCAGTCAGAGTTGCTTTGAGTGTCTTTGGTGTTTTTAAATCTTTAACTTTTAAGTTAAATTATATTGTTGAGGAAAGATTATAGGCATTTGTTCAAAAAGAGGCTTAGGGGTCCAAACTCAGGGCAGTTTTTTGGTCTCCCACATGTATTCTTTATAATCCCAACAGGTTCATACCACTGTTCAGAACTTTCTCTCCCACTTGGTATAATAGCCAAGCTATAACCTCCCTTAACTCGGCTCAGCACCTGTGGCTCAAGTGGCTATGGTGCCAGCCACATACACCTAAGGTGGCGGGTTCGAATCCAGCCCGGACCCGCCAAACAATAATGATGGCTGCAACCAAAAAATAGCCGGGTGTTGTGGCGGGCGCCTGTAGTCTCAGCTACTTGGGAGGCGGAGACAGGAGACTCGCTTGAGCTCAGGAGTTGGAGGTTGCTGTGAGCTGTGATGCCACAGAACTCTACCCAGGGGGATAGCTTGAGGCTCTGTCTCAAAAAAAAAAAAAAAAAAAAGAGTGTCTTAACTCAAGTTGTTCAGTTCAACAAGAAGTGCACAACAGCATTCAGGAGCAGACGTGGTGGTCCTGTCCAGCTAAGCGGCCAGTGTGGCTTGCCCTCTCAGCTACTTTAGTCATGCCAGGACTTGGAACAACTGACCTCCTCAGTGTTCCATATGTGGGGTAGTGGGGCCAGTTACTCATTGCCCATCTGTGAGGAGCCATCAGATGAGTTCTTCATTATGTTTCCCTTGTAAATAAAGGTGAGAAATTAAAAAGCAAGGAACAAAAGGTGGGTTTTCTTCTTTGTCATTCCTCTCAAACAATTTGTTTTCTATCATTTTGATAATTGGTGTCCCACTTCCATAATTGCATAATTCCAATTAGATATAGAATACTGAGGAAAGCCAGGTTTTTAAAATGTCAGTGATTTCCAAATGGGATCTGTCAAAATGATCCTTATCTGGGACACTTTATCCCTGGAATTCTGCTTCACTGTTGGCAGCTTCGTAGGCCAGATACAATCTTATTGGTTTTCGGCAATTCATGCTGCATGAATTATCTTTCCTCTCTCGGTCAAGTGCTTTTAGCAATTGTTTTTCTGTAGGGCACATTTTATAAAATGACATTTGATGCACAATTTCAAGTTATATGTACATGCTGTGGTCACTTATTTGGGTTACTTTTTTGCCTGACCATGCCCCTCAGAATTCTTTTACATATTTTAGAAACTATTTATGTGATCTGGAATTTCTCTGCTTGCATAGATGATTCTTTTAGAATCACAGATGACATCTCATTTTAGGTAGTGACTTTGGTATGAATAGGTAACTATTTGTGTTCCAAAAGAACAGAATCATTTTACAATTGAGTAAACTCTCAGGCTCAGAGAAACTGAACCAGCCCCTCACGCCTCATCCAGTGTTGGCAACATCATGTTCACACCAGGGAGGAGCACCTGGTTTCTTCACTCCAGTCCAGAGTTGTAATCTTTCGCCGAGTACTCTGCTTCCTATGTTCATGAATAAGTGTTGTTTTAAGGAGGGGAAGATAAATTCTTGCTAATCTACTGTGCGTCAGGTACTATTATAGGCACAGTTATGATGATATCCCCACTCCATCTTTTCTGTCCAGCTTTGGAATCAACAGAAAGAAATATCTGTCTCAGGCTGATGGAAGATACAGTGAATAGCAAGGGTCCCATCTTAATAGAGGTCTGTGAGTTCCCCCCTGAGTTGGGTGGACTTAGCTCAGTCCCTGGCTTGGCTGGGTGCTGAGGCTTCTGTCATGGAGAGAGGCCTCGTTTAGCATGCACAGGGGGCAGAGCAAAATGTGTCTGTCTGTAAGCAGCTAGCCCCAGAGCAAGGGGTGGAGCAGGGTGTGACTGGGTCCCCCTCCCAGGAGGGGAGAAGGAGGCAGAGTAAGGTTGGGTCTGTTTCTCTAACGGGTGCCCACTCCCCATTGGAAACATGGAACGAGGGAAAGGAGGTGTCCTCCAATCCATATGACATTATCAAATACCTCTTATTTTTTCCATTTTGTGAGTGAAAAGGCTGGGGTTCAAACAGATTAAGTGATCTGTGCTGTGGTTAAGAGCACAGGGCCCCCTGTCACCTTTGCTTTCAGCCATGGGATTTGGGGCAGTGAACTTAGTCCTTCTCGTGTCAGTTTCCCCATTGGTAATATGGAGACAATAGGAATAGTGCCCAAACTCAGCAGGTGGTTGTGACTGAGATAATACACAAGAAGTGGTTAGCATGGTGCCTACATATGCTCAGGCTCCACGGATTAGTACATTTTTAGTAAACACTGGCTGATTGAATTTGAGCATGAGCACAGATCAGCAGACATCCACAGCTGGGAAAGCAATTTAAGGCACAGATGGTGCTGCTGGAGAAGCAGCCATTCCTGTCCCAACACAGAGGTGCTATTACCTGTCTCCTGTGGTGCCTTCTCGGGTCATGGGCCAGGCTTCAGCTTCCTCTTGCTGCAGGGAGGCCCACAGGGCAGAGAGTGGCAAAGAGGGAAGAGCCAGCCTGGCTGAGCCCTGGATGCTGTGCTGCAGGCATCCTGAAGGTGGTGGCCCTGTCTGCACTTTGTAGACAAGGAGCCAGGGTGTGGGGAGGGCAAGGCACTGCCCAGGAGCACACAGCTGGTAGGTAGTGCAGTGAGATTTCAGCTTGGCCCTCTGACTCAGACTGTCCTGGGGCCCGATCTATGGGGCCTACAGAGGCCCGGGATGCCCTCTGGGGTAGTCCCGAGCTTCATGTAGCATTCTTCTGCTTTGCCCTGGTGAATTGAAGTGCTTTTCTTCTCTCTGTTTATCTTCTATTTTGACGGAGTTAACTGTTTTTCTAACTTGGCATTTGGTAGTGTCAACTGCCTCGAAACCAAGCTAACGAGGCAGTTGACATATTTGTGTTCCATTTGAAACAATAGGCGTGTGAAACTGTTGAACCTTCCTGCCAGCCTGCAGCCACACAAGATGAAAAACTTGCTGGGTCAGAACGTGTCGACCAAGAGTCCTTTCATCTATTCGCCAATTATTGCACACAGCCGTGGAGAAGAGCGGAACAAGAAAATAGGTAGGACTTCCTAACGGTTTTCTATCCCTGATTCCCAGGGTTTTCCTGGACTTATGCAACCTCAGGCCAGTTCATCCACATGTGTGTGCACATGTCGGTGTACAGGTGTGTATATGTTCTGTATAAGGTTATTTAGTTTTTGCTGCCTTTATCAGAGAGTTCCCATAGATCTGATTTTTAGAAAATTTATTTACTAAAAGGCGATTTTGTAGAAGTTCTGGAAACCAGGAAGACTTCTGTTAACTGAGACTCTTCTGAACTTCTGAAGAGTGATAATTGGAGCTCAGAGTGATTTTCCCTGAAGTGACTTTTCAATTTTCAGAGAAAGATTGAGGGTTGGATTGTTTTCAGGATTGACTGGGGGACGGGGATGAGGTATTACTTTCTCTTGTGAATGCTGGTGGTAAGGATAGCCAATCCCAGGGCCATGCTGTGTTGAGGAAGAGATTGGGAGCAGAATGTTCATTCTTGAAGATCTGTCCTCTGCTGGCTGTTGCGTTTCGAAGCTCTCAGCCACTTTCCAGCCCAGCCTACTCACATCCTTCCTGTAGCAGACCAGGGCCCCTTGCATTTGAGATTGTGGTGGCTGGTCATTGGTGATCACTGACAATTGTGCTCACATGTCACTAAGACAGACCTCTAGGGAGGGCAGACATCCTCAAACTATGGCCTGCAGGCCACATGCGGCCCACTGAGGACATTTATCCGGCCCACTTGGTGTTTTTGCCACCACTGCCTGTCCTGCTTAGCAGCCGACTCATCCCGGGGCCCACAGTCTGGCCCTCCAACAATCTGAGGGACAGGGAACTGGTTCCCTGTTTAAAAAGTTTGAAGATCCCTGCTCTAAGGCCTGAAGCCTGGCTCCTGCTTGGCAATTGCCAGTTCCCTTTAATAGTGTAAGTAGAACAATGGAACTTTTGAACTCTGCTTTAATATTCTGTGCTTGCTTCTTCTGTTTTTTCTTAATTTCTCCACCTCCAATTTAGGAAAGACACATCCTGACTCCTCCCACGACGCTGTTTATTCCAGGATATAGGCTTCCTTCTGCCCGTGCAAGGCCCCTTGTACCCTGGAACATGGGCTGTGGCGGCCCCTGCCCCGCACGCACACTTGTCCCTGCTCACTCCCCACCCTGCTCTGTCTCATTTTCCCTTCTCACCTTCTGCCACTGTGGTGCCTCTGCTCATGGGGACCGCAAGGACTTCTTTCTGGTCCCTGGACACAATACACTTGTTCCTGGGCTTAGGCCTTTGTGCTTGTTCTTCCCTCTGCCTGGAACGTGTTCCCTACTGTCACTGGCTCTGTTCAGGTGTCCCCTGCTCAGAGGAGCTTTCTGTGATCCTGGTACCTCCAGGCCACTCCGCCCATCACCTCTGGGGGCACCACCTGGGTTTCTCTTCATACACTTCTCTCCAACTCAGATCTCTGTTTATCCATTTGTTTTCCTTCCTGTAGGGTAGTATGAGGCCTGGACTCTATCTTGCTCCCTGGAATATCCCTAATACATAGAACAGTGATGACATAAAGAATAAATGGATATTTTGAGTCCTACTTCATAGATAAGGAAACTTCATAGATAAGCAAACAAAGTCAGGAAGTTTGTCCAAGAACTCACAGAACTCAGGTCTCACTGCACGTTCCGGGGTCTTTATTTGCACCGTGGGATTCAAGGGACAATATGGACATTACGCAGAGTATATTCTCTGAAAAAGCATTTCTTATATGAACCTGAGGTCTCTTAGCCTCTATAAGGGTTTCATAATAAACTTTGTTAACAGTTTACAAATTATCTGAATACTTGAAAAATAAGGTGTTTTGGAAGAGATAAATTTGCTTGCTAAGATAAAGAACATAACTGAGGTAAGAGTACTAACAGGACCTTGTGCATTTTTAAGTGGTACCATGTCTTTTATTTAAATTGTGCTTTATAAGAGGCTATCATGTATTAGCTCATTTAGTTTCCTCAGTATTTTTGGAAGAATCGATTTTTATCTCCCTTTTATAGCTGAAGAAACAAACTCAGAGATTTTGTGGCAGAGCTACATCTTGAACTCACATCTCCTCAGGCCACGTATTCTGTTCTTGTTGGTATGTTCTGGTTTCCTCTGATATGCACAGCATACGGCAGAGCCTCAGTTAGTTATGTCCAACAGCCCCCACCCTGGCAAAGTTTCTCTTTCAGTTGACACAGGCAAGACACAAGCACCCGAGGAGTGGAGTCATGAGATGAAACATGTTAGTAAACCAAAGTCCTCCAAAACGGAACAGCTGTGCCAGGGGTAGCCGGCTACCTACCAGTGAAGTATCTGTGGATATCTGTGTATGTATGTATAAGTTTTTTTTTTTTTTTAATGTATGAGTCTTTGAAATTCCACTTTTAGTCTACTGAGTTTGAAAGACACCCCCACCTCGTCTGCCATACCACTGCTTCTGTGCCCTGGAGAACATATGGAGGTGATGGGAAACACAGGAGTGGGGTAGGCATTTGCCACTGTGCAGGAGAGAGTAAAACCATTTCTGTCCTTGCTGCATTTGGGGATGTCACTGCCCAGCCCCCTGTGCAGAATTTCAAAGCAGAGTTCAAAAGTTTCAGTGTTCTACTTACAATCGCCAAGCAGGAGCCGGGCTTTAGGCCCTAGAGATCTGTCTTAGTGACACATGGGCACAGTCATCAGTGATCACCAATGTCCAGCAACCAGAGCTCCCCTTTCACCTGTTGGAGGTGGGAGACGTGGTCCTATTGTGGTGCTTGTCCCGCCAGCTCTGAGACATTGGGCGTGCTACTCTCCAGGAGCCTCTGTCTCTAGCGGAACTGGGCTGATTGACATGGAAGTGCTGAGGCTCTTCTCTCTGAGACCCTTCGAGGATCTTGGGCTGCTCTTTTTGGGTCTCATTAGGGTTGGTGATGAGTCTTCTCCTTAAAGAACTTTTAGGAAAGAGAAACTTCTAGAAATGATTGAGAGCTCTGGAGGCATGAAATCCCTCTTCTCAGGACTGGGGATGTAATGTGTGGGATCCAGTGTAAAAGGAAAGCACAGGGTCCTTTGTTCAAATATTACTGAGGATTCAAAGACAGTGACAGCAGAGTAGTAAACCACACATGGCCTCTGAGTGTAGGGGCAGTGCCTGGGGCCTCTTCAGTCTTAAGAAACTGCCAGGGCTTCTTTTTATGAAGTCACACTTTGCGCTTGTTGAAGAGGGCTTAAGCAGACAGTATGCAGTGATTCTCATAACTGATGCTGATGCGGCAGCCATTATTGTATTCCCTATTTACAGATGAAAAGTAGAGCCTGAACAAATATAAATTGCCTGCCTTAGGTCAGAGAGCTCATGCTCTCTGGGGTCCCAGCTTGTGCCACCCAGTGCTCAGGGATTTTTCCCTTTGTAATATAGCTTCTTACCATGGTAAGAAATACCTGCTCATCTTGGCTGAGGATAAATTCAGTGGATGACGTAGGAATTTTTTTCCTGAAATATAGCAGAAGGTTTAGCCAGAATGCACATTATTTGTTTCCTGGCTTCTATTATTTATATTCTCTGGCTTCTAACATTTTTTTGGCAATATACACCAATTGGTGAATGCTTGCCTGGGGGCTTGATGAATGACATATCTTTACCCTAAATTTCTAATCTCTATAAATGAGTCTTTGTTGTATAATTGGGAGAAAATCACCATAGTAGGGGGCACAAAGTTTTGGGGATGAGCAAACCCCTGAGGGCAGTTTTCAAGGCCATTTTCTACTGTAGCTTGGAATGACTTGGAAGTCTTTGTGCCCGCGGCCATCGTCTGAGATCGTGCAGAGATGATTGCAGTAAGGTGCTCAGCTTGAGCATGGTAGGGTGAGGTGTTTTCTATCATTGTGATGCTTGGTGGTGCTTCCAGGCTTAGTACCAAGGTTGATGGCTGCCCTAGGCTGTGGGGTGACTTGGAAAGGCTGTGGCTATCAGGTGGACTTGAACTATAGCCTGGCTCTGCAGCTCTTGCCTCCCAGTGTGTGGCTTTGGACAATGGATCACGTCTTCCTGGGCTGCAGTTGTACCATCTATGGAAAGGTCATTGGAAGCTAACACAGGGGGTTGTTCCGAGGATCCATGGAGGTAATATCTGTAAAGTCCCTGGCAGCCATTCAGACCATCTCTGCAGCAGCAGTTGTGTACACTGTGCAAGGTGCTGGGGCTACGGTGGTAATCACTGTGCTTCCTGCCAGTGGTCCATGCAGCCTCAGAAGGAGATGAGCTTGTGAATGCAGGTACTGCCAGATGCCATGGGCCCTCAGAGAGCAGCCTGCACAGTGTGCAGTGTCGACAGGATGGGGACAGCCTGAGATGGGGTGCTTAATAGCTGAAAATTCCTGTCCTTTCTACTGTTTCTGGGGAAGAACATCAAGGAAAGGCATCACCACATGCTCTGACACACTAAGGATTGGAAAGGGGATTATCTCCTTCAGGGAAAAATAACTTCTCATGCAATAAGTAATTTATCTGAGAATAATCCTTTGTCTACAAAGACCACCTAAGTATCCTTTCAACATCTCAGAAAATGATTTTGTTTTTTGAGACAGAGTCTCACTTTGTTGCCCTGGGTAGAGTGCTGTGGCATCATAGCTCACAGCAACCTCAGACTCTTGGGATCAAGTGATTTTCTTACCTCAGCCCCCTGAAGTAGCTGGGACTACAGGTACCCACCACAATGCCCAGCTATTTTTAGAGATGGGATCTTGTTCTTGTTCAGGCTGGTCTTGAACTCCTGAGCTCAAACAATCTACCTGCCTTTGCCTCCCAGAGGCTGGGATTATAGGTATGAGCTACTGTGTGATTTTCCTCTCAGAAAATGATTTTTAAAAATTATTTTTTGACCATGACAGAGGAAATAATTTCTTAATTATTAGGCATGGCAACTTGTTTGAAAAGAATGAGCCTTTTTGGCTGTGGGGAAGAGTAGGCCAGGACACTGGCACCTGTAGTCAAGCTGGCAAGTCATCCAAGGCAAGCTGGATGCAGCTGCTGAGGGAGGGTGGCAGTGAGGAGCTGGGATGATGGCAGGACAAGAATTGAATTTCCAGAGCCCTACTTGGGTTTGAATCCTAGCTATCTCATTTATCAGGGACACAAGGCGGCAGGCAGTTCAACCTGTCAGGTGAAGTTTTCCTTTATTTAGAATGAGAAGAATAATTGTTCTACTGACCACACGGACCTTGGTTATTCCATGTATTGCCCAGAGGCTCAAGTGAATACCCGGCTGTGCAAGAATTTTGTAAACTCACCTGGCAGGCTCCCTATTAGTTTGTGCAGTCTCAAGACACTAACTTTGCGTCATATCTCATAGATTTGGTGGAGCCAGTCTTTATCTCTGTGCAGGGTGCCTGGTACCAAGTGCTTGGAAGAAGCTGTGTATCTATGTCTGGAAACATGGCTATGAAAGCTCTGTGGAAGTTGAAGAATTCTGGTCAATAAATATCTGTGTCTACTCTAGAAAAAATCCCACACTGCCTTTTTTGCCACCCATGTCTGTTCTAGATACAGTGTTGAGTTCAAAGGCCTGGACTTGACTCTCTATTGCACCACTAGCTTTGTGATTCCTAGGCAAATTTATCAACCCGTTTGGACCTTAGGTACCTGCCTGATAACAGTTACAATACCTATCTCATGAGGTACTTATTAAGAGTGATGAGATGACCTGATTCCCAGTGCCTCACTCCTAAGGTGTGCCCAAGGCCTGTGAATCGATCCTGGACTCCCTCTGGTTTGCTTAGTGGAGTATCTGCCAGGGAGGAGGGGTTGATGGAGATGGACATGGGAGTTGTATCAGCTTTTGTTGCTTTGTGACAAACTACCAAAAACTAAGTGGCTTAAAACAACACAAATTTATTTTCTCACTGTATGGGTCAGGAATTTCAGCTGGATTCTCTGCTCAGGGATTCACAAGGCTGAAATCAGCTCAGGCTGTGTTCTCATCTGGAGGTTCAGCTGAGGAACAGTCTGCACTCAGAATTCTGCAGGTTGCTCCTCATTCTTTCCCTGTGGTGGCATAAGGGAAGCCTCTGTTCTCTTGAATGTGGTTCACTGCTCTCAGTTCCAAGAGGCCACTCTGTCTCTGCCATGTGGCTCCTCAGGAAGGGGCACTCTCAGGAAGGGGGTGGTCTTTTGTATGGGTTCCCTGAATGGAGCAGTCTTACCCAGGACAATTTTTATTTTTATTAACTAAATTCAACTGTTTGGGAACCTTAATTACATCTGCAAACCCTTTCACCTTTGATATGGACCGTGATCTAATCACCACACTCACACTGAAGGGGAGGGGTCACAGGGCACGCACAGGGGGGCACTGGAGACCTCGAGGCTGTCACAGTGCTTGCTTCCTAAGGTGCCGTAGTGCGGTCGGCTTGCGAGTGGGCAGGGAGGGAAGCAGACTGTTCTCTCAGTCTCAGAGGCAATGGGAGTTATGCTCTGTGGGACCCCCGTGTCCTCTTCCCTTACCAGCCTCCAGGTCCTGAAATGCGTGTGCTTTGTGTCTCTAACCCAAAAACGGTGCTGTCTGGATTGATTTTGGTTTTGTAAAGCTGTACTTAGCATGCCGACGTGAGTGCAGCCTGTGGAAGGTGGCGAGAAATGTTATTCGTGTGACATTGAAGTGGCAGTGATGGCTGCTTTGCTCTGTGTCGGGGAAGCTGATGGAAAGGCACCTTCGAATTGTTCTTCCCACTGTGATCCTGGTGCCCAGTGTCTCACTGGGAAAATAAATTACCAGAGGAATAATCCACAACTGTGTGTAAAGTGAGAAAATGCCAACTAATACATGGGTTCCTTGGTGTATTTTCTAGATTTCCAGTGGGTTCAAGGAGACGTCTGTGAAGTTCAGCTGATGGTATACAACCCTATGCCCTTTGAACTTCGAGTGGAAAACATGGTATGTATGTATCACTAGTCATTTGACCTTTCTGGGCCAACACAACAACTTCTCATTAAAGTGTCCTTTACTTAATATTTGAGGCACACATCTTATTGCATATGTCTGTTTTTATATTTGTTTTGCCAAAGATTAGAAGCTTATTATGAGTGAAGACCATGCTTTATCATTCCTGTCTTTGGGCTTGGTACTCAATAAATAATAGAATCAACACAGAAACCTTCTATTTGAACACACCTTGAGCTTAGATGATTGGATATAAGATCTGAAATAATCATTTTGAAGTCTATATGAGATTAGCACCAGTTACAAAGTCTACCTTATGCCTGCTACTCAATAATGTCACCATTATTTTATTTCAGCAAGAAGATAAGGTGATCAGGGCCCAAGGGACAAACAAGTGGTCAAATAAGAGAATAAATCACTGTGCTGCTACTGTGAGGTTTCTCCTTTTTGAAATCCTGGTGTTCTGTTTCTGTGCTTTGTATAGGACATTAAAGATGCACTTTGTAGTCCTACTCGTGGGAACTCCTCACCAGAGCCCACAGTTGGAGGAAGGAGAATTCTACGTTCATTCTGTGTTTTCTGGGCAGACTCCCCTCCCCCTCCTCCAGAGGATTCCATCCCTGCAGTCTCCTCTGTGTTGCTATGTGGTATTGCTGTGCCACTTTTCAGCAACATGCAAAGGCTGGTGCTGGCCTGGTTGTTGGTTTCTTGGTAACAGGCAGCTTTTAATGCCAAGTGCCTACATCATGTGTCAGGTTCTGGGCAAGGCTCTGAAGGGACTGAGATGGACAGGCCCTGGTGTTTGCTGTCAGTGGTCAGGGCTGTGTTCAAAGAGCAGAGGTGTTGCAGGACCAATGTGGGGGGCATGTACCTTTCGTAGAAAGTCAGGGAAGGCATCCTAGGCCAGATGGGCAGCTCCACCAGGGCTGTAAGCCTGAGCTATAGTCTGCCAGGCAGACTATTTGGTAGTTATTGAGATGCTGCTGAAGATTCCAGCAAGTGGCATAGTTTCCCAAAATCTGTCTGAGCTCTTGGAAGCGCAGCTGAATGCTAAACTCACTGCGGTCTGGAGGCTCACTCAGGATGGAGGCTTTCCTCTTCCTTCCTCTTATCACAAGGACACACTAGCATGAGCAGCAGGCCGCCTGTGGCTCTGTCTCTAGCCTAAAGCGGGAATGATGGTTGTTTAGGGATTTCTCCCCATAGTGGTTAAAGTGTTATATGCCTTCTTCTTTTTATTATACATTTTTCATTAAAAAAATAGCTTTCATTTGTATCTGTTTTAAGAATAATATGTGCTTATTATAAGAAAATTAGAAAGTATAAAGAATAAAGTAAAAAGCACCACAAAGATCACAGATTGTGGTCAAAATTTTACAAACTAAATTATGAAATATTTTAAGCATCAGAAATGCTATAGGGAAGAATAATCACTCATATATCCACTGTTAATGGTTGGCTATATTCTTTAGCTATTTTAATAAGAAATGCACACAGTATACACTGCCGAGAGATAGTTGGCATCTTGCTTCCATACTTGCCCATGGCGTCTGTTCCACATGTGGGTCATTTCACAGCTTTGCTCCTGTTGTAGAGTGCGAGATTAAAAGACCACCAGGGACATCAATTAATTAAGCCAATTTTAGGAGTCTTTATTAGGTTGGACAACCAACTGCCCCTCTACGTGGATACAGAGGGAACAGTACTAGCTGTGAAAAGGGAAGGGTTTATATAGGGAAAACTCTATCCTATCAGGGACTGTGTGCAGTCCAGCCAGCAAGCAAGCAACCGACTTCCATAATCTGTTACAGAAGCAGAAAACAGCATTACAGCACTTGTGGTTACCCTGATCACAGGACTGGATAGGGAAACAATTTTATTTCTGGACAATGGGTTAGGCAATAATTATGGTGCCACACTGGTGGCTACTCTTGTTCCTTGATTTTATTTTTGCTACTTTACTTCCTTCTTTCAAGCAAGGGCAAGTGGTTATGGGGGGGTTTCTTATCCCACCTCACTCCCCCCTTCTGATTCGGGGATGAGCTAAGTCTTTGTTTCATCCTCTTCATCTTCTTGCAATATATTTTTATAGTGGGTTCTCAAGTCCAGCAGTTTTCCTGCCTCTACTCGTTTCTGAATGTATGAAGTGAGACAATTTATTATGCGTGGCCCCAAAGTTAATCCTAACAAAAGGAGAATGAGGGGGTCTGCAATTGCAGAAAGGAGTGTTGTTAACCAGGGCAACCACTGGAACATTCCTTCATACCAGTTCTCTGGCCCTAGTTCAGCCCTCCTCTCTCTTTTAGTCTCTTTCTTGCTTCAGCCATGCTATTTCTTATGACTCCTAAATTATTAGTGTAAAAACAACAAGTTTCTCCCAAGGCAGCGCAAAGCCCCCCCTTGCTTTAAAAACAGGAGATCAAGGCCTCTTCTATTCTGAAGAACTACTTCTGCTAGGGAATCTAGTGAAGTTTCCAATCTTGTCACAGATCATTCCACTGCCTCTATTTCTTTATCTATTATCTGAGTAAGGGCCTCGAAATTTCCTCCTTTTATTAGGGCAGCTGCACCTATGGCAACTGATCCAGCTATTTTAATTCCTACAAGTACAAGTATTAAACTTGGTGTTCTTTTTCTAAGGAAATGTTCTGATAAATCTCGTGAATTTAATCCCAAATGTTCCCACTCTCCATCCCCAGAGTAATAATATACTTGGGGTAAAATATGGACTAAAATGCAAAGGATAGAAACCTTTTCTAAATATATGGAACTTAAACAAGGGGTAATACCAGTAGTACATGCAAACCAGGCTCCATCGGTGCTTTTAAGAACATACCCTTCACTGGAGGCCAGTGGGGTCAACACAGTGAGGCAGGAAGCCTTGTAGGGTGATTCCTTTAAAATAAATCCTGGCTCGGCGCCTATAGCTCAACCGGCTAAGGCGCCAGCCACGTACACCTGAGGTGGCGGGTTCGAATCCCCAGCCCGGACCCGCCAAAACAACAATGACGGCTCAACCAAAAAATAGCCGGGCGTTGTGGCGGGCGCCTGTGGTCCCAGCTACTTGGGAGGCGGAGGCAGGAGACTCGCTTGAGCCCAGGAGGTGGAGGTTGCTGTGAGCTGTAATGCCACGGCACTCTACCCAGGAGGACAGCTTGAGGCTCTGTCTCAAAAAAAAAAAAAAATAAAAAAAAATAAATAAATCCTAATGCTTTTATACAAAATCCTTTCCCTTGCAAATCCCCTAAAGTCAGTTTAGGTTCTTCTCCCCATCTACAGTGGGCTTGGTGCTGCTCATAGGTTATATGTTGGATTCGATCACTCTCTTCTCCTATACTCCCATTTATTGCCAGACCTATGTAATATGGAGGGGCAGGGTTTAAGCAAAGCCAACAATCTCTAGTAATATTAGGGTTACTACTATTCATATACTGGAATACTGCATCTAACATACCTAATGAAGAGGATGCTGGGGGTCGGGGTGTGGCTGTAGGCCGGGTGCCACCGTAGTCGGTAGTTGGGTTGGAGGGGAAGGAGGAGGAAAAAGGGGTTGTACAGGGGGTAGTTCTGGATTTAAGGCCTGATTAGGCCAGTAGGATTATAACTTCTCCTTGGCAGAATCTCTGAATGGTAAAGGAAGTTCCAGGATGATTCCCTGAATTTCATAAAGGCCAAGAAACTGAGTCATCACCAATTCTAGGAATTCTTTATAAGTATTGATGCTGACTATGGAGACATCATTTACTTGATGGAAGTAAGATGGCCGGGTTGACAATAAATGTGGCAAAGATTTTATGATTTGAACATGTTATCAAGTTGTTTATAGTATCAAAAACCACATAGGTGCCAGAACTTGACAATCAAAACTGGCTTATACGTTTAACGGTTTTAGTAGATTTAACCTCTCATTTAAATGAGTCAGCCCCGCGTCTTCAGGGTGAAAATGAACTCGTCAACACAGTGTTTCAAACCATAGCAGCATTCCAAATACTGACATTATGGCAAGGTCAAAGAAGGCAAACAGTTTCATGCATTTTTACACACTGGCTACACACAGTTCTATGAATAGCAAAAAGATATACAGCCTTGTTTTTTGATTCAATATAAGAATTTGAAAACAGATATCAAGATTTCCAGGAAAATAATATTTTGGTGCATTTGTGTCTCCATTTTTAATTGAAATAAATATGTTAACAAATAGGTTTTCAAATGGAACATACAATGCTGAAATCTGACATTCAACTTAAAGAAAAATTTGATCAGTCTTCTTACTAGACTTGAATAAGTCCTGTCCTCCCAGAGACAAATATCCCTTGTTTCACAATCATGCCTTATTCATGTCACTGCTTTTTGGCAGCACCTACATCCCCAAGCAATTATTTTCAAGAACGAAGTACATTAAGAGTAAAATTAGAACCAGAATATCTGATGAGCACCTTGAGAGCTCACGGAGAATTGCAGCTACTTCCATCAAACGAGATATTAATGCATTAGTTTCTCAGAAACAATGCTGAATATCCCTAAGTTTTCTGTTACCCACATTTCTTTTAATTTTATAATAAAAAGTATGAAAACAACCCAAAGACATTTTATTACTTAGATATGTACATTTTCTATATTAGTGATTGAAAACTTGAGACCTCCTTGACAATTTAAAAAGTCTCTTCAAATGGGCTGTTGCATAATTAGGATTATTACATGAGGACTTTTTGTTTATCTGTGGTAGCGGATATCATAAAAATTGTACACTTCCCCCCCCTCTCATCAGCTCTCTTTAGTATTTGTGTATTTAACATGTGGCCCAAGACAGCTCTTCTTCCAGTGTGGCTTAGTGAAGCCAAAAGGTTGGATACCCTTGCATATCATTTGTTAGATTTATTCCAGTATATTTGATGTTTTTGATCTTTTGTTAATGATATTTTCCTTTATCTTACTTTCCAATTGTTTGTAGCTAAATTACAGAAATAGGTTTGCTTTTTTCCCCTGATTTTGTCACTTTGCTAGAGGTACTTGTTTAAGTTTCATTGTAGATTCCATAGGATTGTCTGTGTTCCTTTTGTGTGCGTGTGTGTGAATAGTTGTCTGTATGGCTTTCTTTCTTTTTCTTCCATTACTGTCCTGAGTAGGGCCACTGTTGCAATGTTGAGAAGTCCTGAGCTGACATCCCTGCATCTTTACAGTCATGAGGCGGCTCCTTGATGTAGACAATCTGTCTGCTTGATGACCCGCAAGCTTAGTGCTTAGGACATTTTGGAATGAATTGGTAATTCTTAGATGTGCTGGAGACGTATTAGCTGATAATTTATTTCCACATTTCCAGTTTTTGTTTCTTTTTGTTCATAAATAAAAAAATGTATTTTTTCTTTGGGTTCACATTCCTATCTGGTAAAATGATAAAACAAAACAAATAACAAAAATATAACAAACATAACAAAATATAAAAGCAAGTGGAATTGTTTCTCACCTGAGTACCCACAGTGCTTATCGTGTCAGGATTGTTTTGTGTTAATCACTCTTCAGATTGTCTCTGAAGTTCTCACTGGGTTTTATACTGACCATCAGGGTGTTCATCCAACACTTCCAGAGGGCGCCGTAGTGATGTCTTAAGGCTCATCTGAGGCCTGCGTGGTGGGTGCAGGCTGGGCTCATGATGCTCTGTCACTTGTTTCAGGGGCTTCTCACCAGCGGCGTGGAGTTTGAATCTCTTCCTGCAGCGCTCTCCCTTCCGGCTGAGTCTGGCCTGTACCCTGTGACGCTCGTCGGGGTCCCACAGACGACTGGCACAATTACTGTGAATGGTAAGGAGCATCACGTGATGCTTTCTGCTCAAGAAGGACTGCAGAACTCTAGTGTTATGTCCCTGAGGCCTAGCACTGATCTCTCGTCATTCTAGTCCTAACCGATAGAAGACAAGGAAAATATCGCGTCAGGACCTCTTTTGGGGGGACGTGATATAATAAAGCCTGTTTTTGAGTGTGTAGGATGTGGCAGTCCTCTGCTGTAGCTACGAGAGGTGTCCTTCCTGGGGTCTGGCCCCTCTGCCTCTCCTCTCTCTCCTTTTCGTTTTTGCCTCCAGGTGTCTTAAAAACAAGCCAGGGCTCTGGTCAGTCATGGTCCCTCTCAGCTGGGCCTCCTCAGAGAGGTGTCCATACGCACTGAACCTGCCTGTCTGCCTCTGTAGTGGTTCTTTAACCCTCTCCATCCTGGATTTAGCTCTTATCACTTCACTCAAACTGTCCCAAGGTCACTAGCAGTATTTTCTTGGCTGAATCTGAGGCCTGCTTTTTAGTTTTCTTGTAAGCTCACTGCTCAGTGGCCTTTGGTGGTGCTGCTATGCCCTCTGGCCCTTCCGTGTGGGCTCCATATGTTCTGTAGGTGGCTCTTGTGCAGCCTGACCCTCCAGGCTCTGTATCTCCTCGTCTTCCCTTCCCTGTCTCTGCCTCCCCTTCCCCACCCCTGCCTCCAGCCCTCTTCTTCTCTCGTTCTTCCCTCCACTCCCCTTCCCTTTCTACAAGCTACCTTCTGTGATCCATCACTCAGTGGGCCTTTCTGCCTTCCTATTCACATGGTGGTGATCACCAGGGCAGGTCCCTTCCTGGCATTCACATCCAGCTGCCTATAACCGTGGCTGGAAAGTCTCGTGGGCACTGCACATGCGTGTCCAAGCCAGAATGCTGGCTTCTCCTCCCCAAAGTTCCCCTGTACCCCCAGGCTCATCTCAGTGCAGGCATCTCCATTAGCTAGTGACCTTAACCAGCTTCCTGGGAGTCACCACTGACCCCTCCCTGTCTGTCACCACCCCCACCTTGATTCTTGGGAACCTCCAGAGAATGGCCACTTCTCTCTATCTTCATGGCAACTTCTGGTCTTACAGACCATGACTCTCACTATGGGACTGCCACAGAGGGTTAGAATATGTCTTCTGCCTCTGGTCCTGCTTGCTGAGAAATCTTTCTCCATCTGTAGCCAGGACTGCAAACCTTGGAGAGACCCTTGTTCTTGAGGCTGAAGGCCCTGTGTGGCTTTTGGAGCCTTGCTCCACAGTCTCTTCTTGCATATGACACTTCATCTTGAGAGATGTCTAGTTCTGGAGTGTTCTGTGCTCTCTGACCCGTTGCCTGTGTGCTGTCAGGTGCTCTGAGCCCTGACTGACCCCTGTGCTTTTCTCGGTCTATGTCCAGGCCTCCTTTCCTCCTGGAGCCCTCAGCATGCTCATGCTGACTCAGGCCGCCTTGGGCCCTTCTCTGTGTCCTGCATGGTAACGATGCCTTGCTGGCCTCATCTGTCTTGCTTGGTTGCAGCTCAGTGTTTAATGGGGAGCCTTGTACATAGCAGGTTTTCAGTATGTATTTGTTGGCTGGAAGAACAGACATTCACTGGGAATGTGAGTGAGGAAGTCATAGCCATAGGGTAGGGTGTGTTCAGCAAGTCCAACGTGGGGCTAAGTGCACCCTTCTGGGCATATAACTAGAGGGAGAGTGGGCAGGCAAAGGCCTCTCTCAGTAAGTGACTCAGAGTTTTAAAGTCCAGTATGAGATCTTCAAATATGCAGTGGGGAAATGGGGGAGAAAAGATAGTAAATGAGGGGTAGGAAGGAAGTTCCAGGCAGAAGGAACTACTTTTCCAAGGCCTGGTGCTTAGAACACAGTATGCTTGGGGGGTTGGGGTGGTCAGAGTAGGTGGTCCCATCAGTGATCACGGAGCCAAGGCTGGGAGGTGGGCAGAGGGCCAGCCTAGAATGGCTGTTACTCAGGCCAGAGGATACTGGTTTTCTCCTGAGGGCAGTGGGGGCACCACCCTGTTTGAGGAGAGATGTGTACAGATGGACAGTTGGGAGTTATTCCTCAGGAGTCCAGGCTGAAGATGGGAAGGACTGGAGGTAGGGAGGCCAGTTATTAAGCTCTGGGATGAACCAGGTAGAAAATGATGAAGTAGGACCAGAGCTGTGGCTGGGAATGGTACAAAAGAGACAGATTGGAGAGGAAATAATGTGGATTCAGAATAACATAGAACTATAACTCATATATTCAAAGATGAGTAGGAGGAGCCTTGGTAACATTTCTTAGTGATTTTTCTTTGGCACAGACTAACAAGTGTTCATTTTTGGCATGCCGTATATATGAAGTCAAAAGGGCTGACCTTGTATTATCAGATATAATAATGTGCTGAATATTTGTCATCAGACTTCTGGGTTTATATGATAGTTATTTTAAGCAGAGGGTAAGAAAAGGAAAATGACTGATTTAGTTAAGAATTGTAAAATAATGGGTGCTTAGCAGACAAAAACCATTTCATAACCAGGTTTTACAGAAAGAAAATTATAAAGGACATTAGTGCCAGATGTGGGTTTCTGGGGGAGGAAAATGTTGGCCAGGTAAAGAAGTCTTTCAAGAAAAATATTTGAGAAAGGAGGGAACATGGGTGCTGTGAATTGGAATTACGTTGAAAGAGCAGCTTAAAGCTGGTGGAGGGTGAAGGGCAGGGCCAATGGCATATCCGAGGGCCCTGATTTGCCCTTGAGAGAATGGCTTGCTTCTCTGTTTAGAATGTTGGACAGTTTTGTGTGAATGTAGAAAAGTTGTCACCCTGGGCATCTAGCCATTGGGTATTATTTGATTTTGTTATACTGTGAATGTTGTTGATAATAATTATCTCTCAAAATTTTAAAAATCATTTTAAAGCGTTGCTTAAACAATTTCAAGTGCTTATCTAATCAACGGACATTTTCTTGGCATGCTTTGCAAATTTGCTGATTTTTATTTTTTATTTTTGAGACAGACTCTCACCTTTTTGCCTGCAGTAGAGTGCCATGGTGTCATAGCTCACTGCAACTTCAAACTCTTGGGCTCACACAATCCTCTTGCCTCAGTCTCCCAAGTATTTGGGACTATAGGTGCGTGCCACAATGCTCAGTTATTTACTTAGAGACAGGGTCTCATTCTTGCTCAGGCTGGTCTCGAACTTGTGAGCTCAAGCGATCTACCTGCCTTGGCATCCCAGAGTGCTGGGATTATAGGTGTGAGCCACTGTGCCTGGTGTTGAATTTGCTAATCTTAAATTATAGTACTTGTACACATACCACTAGATTGGCCATGTCATGGAGGAGCTATGATCACAACAATTGGCTTTTGAACTTTCATTGCTCAATAGAAAGTTTTGAAGCATTTTTCAAACACTCATTAGATCATAATATGTCCTGGAAAGGAATATTAGCTATTCTCATCTCATATTCTCATCTCATCTAATATTAGCTATTCTCATTTTAGAGATGGATAAATCTGAAAAGCAAATTAGTAAAGGGATGAGATACTAATTATTAAGTTGTATAGAGATTTATAGTTTACAAAGACTTTCACATACACTCTTTTATTTAGACCTAGTCAGCCTTACAAAATAGGAATGTAGGCGCTAGTATCATCTCCTTTATGTCTGAAGACATCAAGAGGCTTCAGGGTAGAGGGCAGGAACTCTGGGTGAGAACTAGCAGGTGACAGGCCACCATCTGCCCTTGGGTCTTCAGAAGACAAACTGTGTCCTCTTTCCATGATTTTGGCCATGGGTGTGAGATGCCAAACCTTGCCAGGTGGTGTGAGGTTCTCCTTCTGTGTTCCAGGCTACCACACCACGGTCTTTGGTGTCTTCAGTGATTGCTTGCTGGACAGCCTCCCAGGAGTAAAAACCGGTGGCTCCACAGTTGAAGTCATTCCTGCTTTGCCAAGACTACAGATCAGCACTCCTCTGCCCAGGTAGTGTACCCAGGGAGCCCAGGTGTCTGATGGTTGACAGGAAATGGCTCTTATGAATACTTTTTAGTTACATGTTGCATTGTTTTAATGATATAAAGAACCTGAATTAATTTGTAATTCTTATGACCAGAAGGTGGGTAAAGGCTATCTTTAAGATAACCAATAGTCAATATGTTTTGCTTACAGTGAATTAGAAAAAAGTTGAAATCTTTCTTACCAAGATTAGAACAAAATGTGAATTTAGCCTGTGGAATCATTATTTTTTACAACAAATTAAATTAGGAAATACAAGAGATTTAAGAAATTTCCTAAGAACATATAGGGAATTTAAGAAAAACACTCTTTATTTTTTAAGAAAAGTCTTTTTTTTTTTAAGCATTGTAGAAAAGCATAAAGAAGAAAGGGAAATAATTCTCAGCATCTCAGAAGCAATTTCTATGAATGCTGTGTGAGATCTCCTAGTGTTTTATCTAGCTTATTTTTTTTCTTTTAGAGACAGGGTGCCACTCTGTTGCACAGGCTAGAGTACTGAGGCATGATCACAGGTCACTGCAGCCTCGAACTCCTGAGCTCTAGTGATCTTCTAACCACAGTTCCTGCAGTAGCTAGGCCTACATGTGCACACCACCATGCCCAGCTAATTACAAAAAAATTGTTTTTGTAGCGACAAAGTCTTACTCTGTGGCCTTGGCTGGTCTAACTCCTGACCTCAACTGATTCTCCTCCCTCATCTTCCCAGAGTGCTGGGAGTACAGGTATGAGCCACAATGCTTGGCTCATTTTATTTTTGAAATACAAATTTGAATAGTTGAGGTTATACTACATCATAAATGATATCATAGATTATTTTTTTGCATGGCCATGTAATATAAGCTTTTCTTTATGCTCTTACAAATGTTTTTATAAAATTAAATTTTAAATGCCTCAAAAAAGTACATCATAAATACAACTCAAAATTGCATACTCATTAATTTCCTTGCTATTTAGAATTTGGGATATTCTCAGTTTTGGCTCTTATGAATAATACTTAATGGATATCCTTTTGGCTATTTTTGTAAAATGTATCTTGGGATTTTCCAAAATGTTTTTAAAGCCCATTCATTTGTTAAGTGGATCCTTTTCTTCTGCCTTTTCTTCTAGCACTGTGCTAGGTGCTAGGACTATAACAGGGGCCACAACGGGCCTGGTCTCTGTCCTCATGGTGGTTCTGTCAGGTGGGAGAGATTGACAAGTAGCCAACTAGTCTCAGTGCACCGTTATCAGGACAAATGAGGGGTGTCACAGGGGCTTAGAGAGGATTTTCTTTAAGGAGGTGAAATTCACAGGTATGCCCACGGACAGGGAGGAGGAATGAGCTGTGTGGGATGGGCCGTGGGAGCAGTTTCCTGACAGAGGAAGGAGGGTGAGAAAGTGGCATGGCTGGGGAATAAAGAGAAATGCAGGAAACACCTACTCAGAAATGGTTGTGGGTCTGAGTGTAAGAGCTAAAAATGTAACACTTTTAGAATAAAATGGGAGAAGTGTTTCATGACCTTGGCTTAGGCAGAGAACTCTTTGATGTGACACTAAAACCCAGATCCATAAAATAAAATGCTGATAAATTGGACTTCATCAAAATTAAAAACTTCTATGCTTCCAAAGACACCATTAAGAAAATGAAAGACAAATCACAGGCTGGAAGAGAATATGTGCACGTCGTATGTCTGATCAATAGCTTTTATTCATATCAGGAACTCTTAAAACTTAAGAAGACAAACAACCTATTTAAATAATTGCCAAAATATTAGAATAGCTATTTCACCACTAAAGAAGTATTCAAATAGCTAATAAACTACCTGGAAGGACGTTCAGCATCATTAATCTTATGGAACTGGTAGTTCTTGAGAATCTAGCTCATATCTACTGAGAAGGCTTATAATCAAAAGACAGATAATAGCACGGGTTGCAAGGTGGTGGAGAAGCTGGAATCCTCATGCACTGCTGATGGGAACGTAAAATGTCAAAACTCTTTGGCAACTTCTTAAAGAGCCAAATGTAAATGAATTTATCATACGACCCAACAATTCCACTCCTAAGTAGTTTAGACAAACGATGTTTGTGTCAAACATAGATTAACACAAAAAAATGCACACGAGTGTTCATAGCAGCATTATTCATAGCAAAAAAGGGGTCGGGCCACATGTCCATCAACTGGTGAGTGGATAAGCAAAATATGGGACGTTTACACTATGGAATACTACTCAGCAATGAAAAGACATGACTGGATATGTGCTCCTGTATAGAGGAACCTTGGAAACATTGGTAAATGAGAGAAGCTGGATGCAAAAGGTTATTTAGCATGTGAGTCTTTTGGGGTGAAAGGTCCAGCAAAGTCAGGTCCATAGGGACAGAATGTAGTTCAGTGGCTGCTCTGGGCTGCCAGCGAGAGTAGGGATTGATTGTAAGTGCACATGAGGCATCTTTTTGGGCTGCTGGGAATGCTTTTAAAACTGATATCAGTGATGGTTGTATTGCTTTCTAAATTTGCTAAAAATAATTGAATTGTATACTTAAAATGGGTGAATTTATGGTATATAAGTTATATATACCTGAATTAAACTGTTGAGAAAAGTGAATTTTGGTTTGGCTCCAGTGCAGGATAGATACATGTTTTTTGTTGCCACCACTGGGGCCTCAGGAGGAGATTCTTTCTTGTCTTTGTTCTGGTTATAAAGAAACCAGGGCTACCCAGACAAGGATACCTCTGAGCAAATCAGTGTGGAAAGTCAAATTTGCCAATTCCCAGCACAGCCTCTGCCAATAAATCCTGCCACTGCTGCCTGTAGTGCTGTGGCACTTAGTGGCATTAGGTTAGGGAGAACATGGGCCTTGGCACCTGGTCCTAAGGCTTCATAGCTTGTACAGAGCACCTGCCACTGAGTGACATTTGGAGGTGAGTGATGAGTAGTCTAGTAACGGGGCAGGGTGATGAGCAGTCTAGTGACAGGGCAGGGTGATGAGCAGTCTAGTTATGGAGGTTGGGTGATGAACAGTCTAGTTAAGGAGGCCAGGTGATGAGCAGTCTAGTTACAGGACAGGGTGATGAGCAGTCTATTATGGAGGCTGGGTGATGACCAGTCTAGTTATGGAGGTTGGGTGATGAACAGTCTAGTTAAGGAGGGCGGGTGATGAGCTGTCCAGTTAAGGAGGCCAGGTGATGAGCAGTCTAGTTAAGGAGGCCGGGTGATGAGCAGTCTAGTTATGGAGACAGGGAGATAAGCAGTCTAGTAAAGGAGGCTGGGTAACGAGCAGTCTAGTTAAGGAGGCTGGGTGATGAGCAGTCTAGTTACAGGACAGGGTGATGAGCAGTCTAGTTATGGGGCAGGGTGATGAGCAGTCTAGTTATAGAGGCTGGGTGATGAGTAGTCTAGTTATGGGGCAGGGTGATGAGCAGTCTAGTTATGGGGCAGGGTGATGAGCAGCCTAGTTAAGGAGGCCAGGTGATGAGCAGCCTAGTTAAGGAGGCTGGGTGATGAGCAG